GGTAAGTGGCGGAGGGCGCCGAGGAGCGGGAAGGGGGATAAAATGCGGGAGCAGGTGGGATTCGTCGGGGGAGAGAGGAAATCTGTAGGAAATGAGATACAGGGGAGGGGGAGTGCTGACGAAAGGGGGTGATCTGCAGCACGGAGGGGCGCAGCCCTCCTGAAGCTGCCAAATCGTAACTTTTTGTGGGTTTTTTTTTTAATAAACGGAACCAAGGGGGATCACGGTTGTCTTCTAAGACAGCGCATTTAAGGCAGCGCTCCATGGCGCTGTGAATGCGGTAAGCTTTAGGTAAGGGGTAGCTCCTAGAAGCCGCTGATGATTTCTGCTCTCCCTCCGCTCACCTCTGCGTGTGTTCGCAGCCCAACCCGCCAACTCCATTTAAAACTCCGGCCAGGTCCCTTCCCAGAAATATATGTAAATGGACACAACAGGGGGCTGACAGGGCCTAGATAGCTGGATATATCTATGTGTACGGAGGACTTGGATCCTTCATGATCACAAGTGGGTTTTAGTTGTATAAGCCACGTCAAAGGCCAAGTGCCAGCTAGAGAAAGTGCCTTGCCCAGGTCGTTTAAGAAGAGGGCGGCGGAGGCAGGAATCGAATCCCAGTCCCTGGGGCAGCCGCGGATCAGAGCAGCCTCCCCAGGCAGGCGAGGCGGAGGCACCTCGAGGTGCTGCTCAGCTGGACTCCTGCCTCCCCAAACGGAAGGCAGGGGGTGCAGAAGCAGGCTGATCCATAACTGCCCTGTGCGCGTAAAGAGCAAAAAAGAAAATGATAAAAGAAATGTGCCATTAAAGCGTTTCCATCGAGAGAGAGAGGGTTGTGCAAAGGGAAAGAAGTTAAAGCAGCCGGCCACAATCGTCTGATCAAACAGGCCGTGTTCAGGTCAGGGAGCAGGGCTGGAGCCTGACACGGACTTTCACAGAGTGAATGACAGGGGCCGCTATCAGTGGTGACAAGGCCACAGATCTAGCCATTTATTAACCACTTATATTATTTGGTTTATTCACCATTATGCAAGAAACTGCAGAACTGTAATATACCTTGCATGCTGCAGCTTATTTGTTCTCTTAAAGCAAATGGTGAGTTTCTCCATTGAGCTGAGGAGTTGTGCCAAAAATAGCAACTTGCACATATCAGTGTAGGAATACATGGACTGGGTCAGACCAGAGGTCTATCTCGCCCAGTTCTGCCTCTGGCAGAAACCAGTGGTGGACATGTAGGTAAAAAGTAAAAGCATGCAGTGATCTGGTCTGGCCTCCCACCTCCAGCCATCTGTGACTGAGGGAAGGCTCATCTTTCTGTTTCAAGTAATCCTCAACTGATTTTATACAACTTCAGGTTGCTCATGTCTAAAACATGAACATGAAAAAATGACATTTTTGTTGTATTCTTCATCCAGATAGGCCAAACTGACCAGCAGTCCCTACAGCCCCAAGCAAAGTGTGTAAATCATGCCGTGGAGGGACCAGCAGTCTGTGCAAGCATGCAGCTGATGCTAGAGCACAGCCTAGTAGCTCTGAATGCAGAATAACAAGGCGGGGGAGGGGGCTTTCTCTCCTCTTATTCCTTGTAATTTAAGTAAATATATTCTGGGATCAAAATACACTACATTTCCTGAGAAATTATGATGACAACTTCACCAAAGGCACAACTGTATCCTTTTATCAGCCTTTTCACAGGCTTGATTTTTCACTTGTCTAGCTAAGCTGTGTTTCAAATTCCCAAGCAAAAACCAAGGAAAGCCCTTCCAAGTTAGAGTTTTCTTATTTTCTGAAAACCTGAACTCAGAGAATTTACATACGGGAAATATTTATCAGATTGTCTGATATACTCCTCATACACCACCCCCACCCCCCACTCAACTCCCCAGTCGCAGCCAAAATACTACTTCTGGTTCATTCTGAAAGATTTCCTATGAAACTAGTTTTTCCCCTTTCCCTCTGGAGGTCATTGTAGTGTCACTGAACTTCTTTCCATAAACTCAGGCCTTGGGAATCCTTAAATAGCTAGTCTGCATCATCACTGTTTATGACTGGAGAGTGTTTGCAAAACAACTGTCATGCCAGCCTCCTCCACAACCATTTAGACATAATGCATTTTTTATTTTTGTTCTCATAAATTGCTTCATCCAGACCTTTAAAAAAACAGTTTATTTTCCTCTCTGACTCTTCTGCCTATGTTTCAACAGGTTTTAGGTATGCAGTTGGCTGCAACGCTGGATGGGAATCTCTGTGTTGGATTTACCTTTAGAGACTTGAAGGGCACGCCCAGTCTGTCCTCTGCTTAGTGCATAATTTGATTTCTGCACTGGTTTTTGTCACCAATTTTATTGTCAGGAAGCCACAGGCAAAGACAAGCTGAAGGCAGAGTATTCTGGGTACTCCCTGAGGCACTGAAGTCCTTGGGGTGGGTAGTTGTTCTTTTTCTACAGATCCTAATTGTGCTAAAGGATGTTGGGAAATGTCTGCAGGTCAGTGCTTGCATGTGGAGAAGATACTCTGCAAGTTAGACACCAATTGAATTATTACCTGTGATTTTGGGGACTGGACTGTCTCTGAAGCTATTTTGGAAAATCCTTCTAGACACCTATCTATGCCATTAGGTATCTAAATAGTTTTGAAAAACATCCCCTGGTTTCCAAGGGTCTTGGCAGAAGTCAATGCGATGTCCTTCCAAATGCTGGAAATTCTGAACATATCTGCTGAATAACAAGGTTCTGAGTGCCCAGTTCCAGGTAGCTAAAAAAAAAAAAAGCTCTTTGCAGAAGGTAAGTGTTCAGATTTGGTCCCTAGAATCTGACACATCTTCAGTCTTGAAACATGATGCACAGACTAAAGTTATCCAACCCTACCCACCCTCTGGACATGTGAACGGGGTGTTCTTTGCACTCATGGAGAATAGGTTAAGGCTGTATTTTAAAACACAGCTTCCCCTCCCCTCCCTGCCAGGCTGGAAGTGCCAAGCACTAATCTATCTTTCTGCATTCATCAGGCGTTCAGCACTTTTGAATATCAAATTCCCCAGCTGTTTCAGATGGAGTGCTGTAAAAATAGGACAGAGAGAACATTCACCTGATCTTTATAGAAAAAGCTTCCTCTGGTAAGCAGAAAGAATGACTGTATAGCCTAAAGGTATTCACACTCAAGTAGACTGAGCTTGTCAACTCATTTTGCTTGGGACACAAAACAGCCATTGAAGAACAGGGTCAGATTTCACCTACTGACCTAGGTTTGAAAGGCAGCAACAAAATGCAGAAGTTCTGGTCTCCTTAGTAAAGCTGACTTGTATATGCTTTACTTTATTCTCTCTAGCAGCATCCCACTGAGAAAGGCTTAAGCAGATGAAAAAAATAAAGCTTTCCCTTTTTTCCTGATAGAGAGTTAACTCCTCTGAGGTCTCCTGCGAGCATACAACCTTCTCCTATGCATTGGAAGTCTCCGCAGCTGAGTACTTCCACGCTTCTGGCTCCGCAGAGCATTCAATCGGATGGGAAGGATGGTTTTGTTGATGACATTGAGGCGTTCGTTCAGTTCTTCTAGCCTTTTCCTTATCGACTGGACTTGCCTCACGAGATTGTCCACAGCTGCGGAGACAGGGCGGAGACTACAGAGAGAATAATACAGCAGAATAACTCAGAGTGGGAAGTGTTCCTGAGCATGCAAAATAATTTACCATGGCCTTGTGTTTCTTGGTGGGTAAGGGCCCTTTTTGATGAAAGATTTGCAAGCAACCGTCGAAAGATGCTTCCCAAGCTACCCTGCCCCTTGGGTGGTGGGAATTCATCTGAGATGCCCCCATCTGAACCCAGGGAACCACAAGCTTCAGGACCAGCATGGGCAACACGGTCTTTCCATTGCCACCAAAGCACAGCTGGCTCGGTACCAAATGACAGCTGCTTTATGAGCTCCCAGAAGCACTTCACAGCACTCCTGCTTTCGGGGGGGGAGATGAAAACCATCCTGCTTGGCTGGAACCGGCAGGGGTAGAGAAGAAGAGAGCAGCAACGCGCGGGATCGCCTCGGAGGACATCCCAGCGAAGGGCAGGCTGCTGCGTGCCGTGGCGCGGCTGTGGTGGCGCAGCCCCAGCGTGGCTCCGGGCTGGAGCTCTGCCTGAGCTGAGTGAGGGGGGAGCCGGGTTTTACACCAGGATTTGGCAAGGTGAGGGCTGCACCGATGCACCAGTGTGCCTGGGGGTAACCCTGTCCCTTCCCTTGGAGGGCCATCTCTCAGTCACCCTTTGGGTGTTACAAAGCGCTGATGCTCATTCTAATCTCACCTGATATTAATTAGTATTAATTAGCCTTGCTGCTAACCAGGAGCAGACACGGAGGTTGGGCCAATGATTCCCATGGATTACTGTCAGTCCTCAATCTTTCCAATGGACCAGCCTGTGTCCTTGCCAGCAAACTCTTAATTCAAAGCCCTATGCAGGAAATATGGCTGAATAGTCTCATTACATCTCCCTGGGCTAAAGTCAGAGCTTTCCAAACACATGACTTAACGTCAGCCCTGATAATCTTAGGCACCAATGAATTTCAGCACTGGTAGTGCGAAAGTTGTGATGAATTCTGTGCTAATAACAACAGCCACCATGCAGCCAGGGAGAAATCCACTTGATGCCAAAGGCCAACATATAATCTATCAATCAACTATATCCTCCTGAAACCCTAATTTGTACAAAAATTGTGTGACCTTCTGACTAGTGCCATTTTATTTTTCTAGCCTCTCCTCTTCAAGTGGTTCAATGCATAGCAGTTGCAGACAGATTATTTTTTTCTTTTTCCTAAAGAGAAAGCTGAGTTGTGGAAGAGAACACCTTGCTTTCCAAACAATCCTGATTTAAGTGATATTAGGTTTCTAGTAATTCTGAGTATTCCCTTCTCTCTCTTTCATTGCCTTTCCCACTCTGTTTCTGGAAATACGAG